ACTTGATCTTACCAAGATGGACTTGGCTTGTGTCCATGTTGGTTCACTTGCTTGCTGTTTTTTTTTTCTTTTCTGTCTATTTGTCTTTCTCTCCTGCTTTCTTTTAGGCCATGTCTCCTATGGGGGCTCTTAAAGGAAAAGGAAGACATTTGAGCAGGGATGGGGCTGATCTGGGAAAGTCTGTGTTTGGCAGTGAGAGTGGAGTCCGAGAGACAGGTGACCTCAGGGTGTCTGCAGGGGAGAGTGGCCTGTGGCCCAGGGATGGAGCAGAGATTCCCAGCTGGCTCGCCGTGCACGATGAAAAGGATAGCATTTGCCTCAGAGGCTGCACGTACCAGGGCTGGGAGTGGTCACCAGGCTGTGCGCTGTGGTTGGAGTGGAGCACGTCACAGGCTTGAAGGAAATTGACACCGAGTGGTCTCTGATGCTGGCAGAGGGCTCCGGCTGCCGTGGACTTCAGCATATCTAGAGGGGTGGAGAGAACCTGAGCCATCAGAGGCCTCCTGGAGACTTGGACAGGGCGTCCTCCTAAATGGCCCATTTATCACTCTCGTCTGCCAAGGCTGCCTTGACACTGAGAATGGAGAAATGAAGGAACAGAAGGCCTAGCCACCTCCCTCACCTCTCCTTCCCCCTCTGCCGTCCGTCTGCTGGTCTTAGGCCTGCTTCTCCACCTCCCTGTGCTTTGAATGGAGCTGCAGGTCTGCTGCAAAGGAAGTAGGCCGCAGCCTCACGGGAGCAAGGCAGCCCTAAGTGTTGGTCACTCCGGGGTCTGGCAAAGGGGCCTCGTGCATGTTGCCCTGCTTTGGGGACCTGGGCTCCTCTTCCTGTGTCTTCATGGTGGCGTAGAAAGTGACGTTGGGGCAAAGGGGACATCGTTCACCTGGGGTCCAGTAGGGTGACTCTGGAGCATCAGGAAGGGAGAGAGGGGGCCATCTCTCCCTGGTATGTTCACATTGCCTTGTGTGGGACCCACACCCACCCTGGCAGGATGCACAGGTATTTTTTTTTCTTCTATTAGACACAGGGAAGGCTAGTTCCTATTAGCACTTGCCAGTGGCAGGCACAGTGCTAGGGATGAGACACCCAGGTAGAGAAAAAAGACAAAGGCGATCAATGCCTCCTCTCTGTGCCCGGCTCACCAAAGTTGCCCTGTCCCATGAGGGAGGTAAGCAGGCACGGCTCACCGCACTTGATAACTGGGGACACCGAGCACAGAGACAAGCCTGCCCGAGGTCACAGAGTGGACAAGTTATGGACAGAGCATGGCTGCGTGACAGAGCCTTCTTCTCTCCCAGCCCCATCACTGAGGGGTCCCACTGCCCCCACCTGATGCCAGCACTGTTTCACCTCCGCTTCCTGCTTTGCTTCCTTTCTGTCCTGCTCTCCTCCAGTCATGGCCTTGTCTCTCTGCGTGGGCCGTCATGTAGTCCCCGTTCACGCTTTCAGTCCGCCAGGCCGAGGCCTTGTGGGTGGTGAGGCCAGGCAGCATCCCCAAGGTCCCCGGTGTTAGGGACCAGAGCACTAACCTTGCAGAAAGGACGTGAGCCTGCGTGCTGGGCGGAAGTGGCACTGTCTGCGAGACTCCCACACCTGCAGATGGGCCCCTCAAGTCTGCGTAGTGGGCAGTGTGCTCCTGCAGGGCTCTGCCCTGTCCCCATTAGCTGGGATTTCCTTTCTGATTTCGCGGGGACATGCGTGCCATCCCGTCCTCAGCCTCTCAGTCTCGTGGCAGGGGCTCAGTATATGTTTGGAGAAAGGATGAGTGGATAACTACCATCTCATCCTGCCCCCCGGGGTTTGGAGGAGACGGATGAAGAAATAAGTAGAGTCTGCCCCCTGGGAATGTGTGTTCCAGTAGAAGAGACCAAACAGGGTAACATCGGTAAGTCTGCAATTCAGTATGGAATTGCCTGGTCCAGGTGATGTGTAGAGCTGGAATACAGAGGTGAGTGATTGGAAAGGGCTTCATGGGGCAGGACTGCAGGTGGGCCTTGGGGAGGCGGCGAGAGAGAGCCAGGCCATACGTGTGATCAGATGGCATCAGAATGCACGCCAGTGTTTGGGCTTGGAGAAGGCATTTAGCTGCCTCTTTGGCAGGGGTGAGATGGTAACTGGTGGCTCTGCTTGTGATCTAGCAGCCCCATATCGTGCGGGAGCTCAGTTCTGGCTCGATGCTGCCCAGCGAAGGCCCTCCTTAGGGCTGGGCCTGACCACGTCCCTCCTTCTGGAGGGAGACATTTGGCCAGAGCCAACTTCGGAGGGGCTGTGTGAGTGTTTTGCGGCTGCTGTGACCAAGTGCTTAAAACAGAAATTTATTCTCTTGCAGTTCTGGAGGCCAGAAGTCTGAAAGCAGGGTGTCGGCAGGGCCAGGCTCCCTCTGAAGGAGGGAGAGTCTGTTCCACGCTGTTCTCTTAGGCTTGCGTTGCCAGCCATCCTCGGTGTTCCTGGGCTTGTAGGTTCCTCCCTCCATCCTCTGTCTTCACATGCGTGATCACTCTATGTCTATGTCTCTTCTCCTCTTCTTATAAGGACACCGGTCATTGGATTGAGGGCCCGCCCTACTCCACTGTGACCTCGTCTTGGTTAAATCTGCAGAGAGCTTATTTCTAAATAGGGTCACGTTCATGGGTACCAGGGATTAGGACAGCAGCATATCATTTTTGGATGACACAATTCAACCCACATCAGGCGCTTAAAGATTCTGTTTGCCTCCAGATCCCCTCTACCTATTATAGCCTCTGTCCTCTCTCAGGTGTTTGGGGCCTCTGCACCCACCCCTCTCATCCTTTCATAATGCCTTCTCTCACTTGCCGGGTTGTGGAGTGGGACGGACACTGGTCTTGCCATTCAAGACCACGTTTGATTCTGCGGGGGATGGAAGCTTGCTTGGAAATGCTGCTTTTCCCTGTCTTGGGGCTGGGTGGTGAGGAGCTGGAGGATGTATTTCCAGGCAAGAGGGAGGGCGGAGGTCACTGCAGATTCCCTTCTCATTTCCTGGGAAAGACAAATCACTGCTGTCTCTGAAAGGACCTGAAGGGCTTCCGCATGGGACCCGCCAGAAGGGCCGCCCGCCTTGCGTGGGAGGTCTGGGACGAGGTCCTGGTTCCACTGGTCAGCAGTCTTGGGATCTTGGGCGTTACTTAGCTTCTCCAAGGCTCGGCTTCCTACTCTGTGAAGTGGGATAATCATAACGATGGCTGTCTGACCTCACAGACTTTTTGTGAAGATTCAGTGATAAACGATGGGTGTGAAATCATTCTTTTCAAATCATTTTTTTTTAATTGTGGTAAATTATACCTAATGTGAAAGTTACCACGTTAACCATTTTTAAGTGTCCAGTTTTGTGGCGTTAAGTACATTCACACTGTTGTATAAGCATCACCACCATCTTTTCTAGAACATTTTCATCTTCTCAAACTGTGAAAATACCTCTAAAA